TTCACAAAGTTTAACCAAAATTGAGGATTTCTGTAAGTAAAAGCAAAGCTAAAGAAAATTTGTACTTTTCTATCTACCAGAGATAGATCCTTAATAACCTATAATATCTAAAGAGACTGCCACTTGAGTTATTTATCAGTACAGCAGATTTTTTGGTATGCAGTTGTCTCATGACCATTGAGTAGGCTCAGTTCCTCATGCTCAGTCATTTCATCCTACACTTTCTTCCCAGTGTTCCAGGCCTCCTCCTCTATCTAGGCAACCTACATCGACACCACTAGATATTTTTTGCCTGATCATTACTGAAAATAAAACAACAGACTGATCTCAAATTGCCCCATGGGATCTTCTAATTAGTGGCTTCTCTTTAACCAGACAGTCTCTCCCATAAACAAAATTCGCTGCTCTCTTCCTGTTAGCCAGTTCCTCTGACAGATTAGACTTCTCATACTAAGCCCCATCTAAACTAATTACAATGCCTCATGTAAAGTGCTTTAAAAGCCTTGCTGAAATAGAAATAGGTTTGATGCCTTGCATTTCTTTGCCTACAGAATAAGTTATCTTATCAAAAAAAGTATCAGGTAACTCTGGTAGTAGTAACCCTTTCTGAGAAACCGTGTGGCATTTTAACCTAAAGCATTTGGACATCAATTATCCTGGCCCAGTCTCTCTTCCGTCTTCCTTCCCCTGGCCCCCTTCCACCATGCTTGGGACTGACATTAAAATATACCAGATCTAGTGGACACAAGTACCAAACCTCGAGTAACAGACACTAGCAATGAAACACCTTTTACCATACCTACCAGAGCAAGGTCATTCATTTTTCTCAGTTAAAGGATCACAAGTGCTATAATTTGATCAGATACCAAGGAAACGTGTTCCAGAAATGGGTATTTTGGTATTTCTAACCAATCTTAGATACCTGCCTAAAACTCTGCTTTGACAGTTTTCTGGCAGACCCTGAAAAATGGGGTTTTTGTTTGTTTTACCCTCCTCAATTTCCAGACAATCCAAATCAAACATGGAAAGAACGTGCCGGCTCCCGCATGCCTACATATGAGGATAGATATGAGCAAAGATGCAGGAAATTTAATCCCAGCAGTGAATATGGATTTGTTTCCCAAGTAGGAAGGAATTCATATCTTCCTGTAAATGAATGAAATTAAATAATAATAAAAAATAATCCTCCTGGCCAAAATAAATTATTTTATGAAACAAACAAATGGAATTGTAAGGAGGAAACAAAGCATTCCTTTTAAGTCTTAAAACCAAAATTGCTTCTGTTGTCTTTGATCTGATTTAAGTTGTATTAAAGGTCAATGAATATTGGAACAAATGTTGCTAAATGCTCTACTCAATGGATAAAAAGAAAGATGAAAGTTCGGCTTTATTGTCCATAACACATCACACAACGAGCTCACCAAAGTTACCAGCTGGGGCCTTGCAAACCACATTGACCAAATAAGGCAAAAGGCTTCGTGCCTGGAATCCTTTCCCAGTTACCTCACCCGGCTTCTGCTCGCCTTTCTACAATAATTGCAGAGGTCATTTTTTTAAACTCAGATGGAGTAAATCAACAGGCTATCCAATGCAAAGCTGGGTTTGTGTAGTCTCTGGAGAGAACTCAGCTTTATTTAAACTGAGTGTGTGCAGAAAAGGAATATCTGAAATATGTGCAATAAAAACAGAAGAGCAAGTAGTATAAATTGAGAAGAGTAAGTGATGGCGATTTGTATATTGCTGGTTAGGTTGCAAATACTAATGTTTTATGGTGGATGTTTCTCAGATTTGTTGGGTACCTTCAGGTTTTTAAAGTGCACCTGAAGGGCTAGTCTTTAATGTTATTCTTGTGATATTCCAAAAACACTTAAACTTTGCACTCTGAGTTTATACTGTCCTTGTATTTGAAATATAGCTCCGTAACACCAACAGGATATATTTTATCCTCCGTATTCTCTTTGATTTCTGTGACAATATTTTTTGCTTAAACGTGCTATAGTTTTGAAGAAACAATGGAATATTCTCATTCTCTATTAAGCACAACTATAAGATAGTTCTAAGTAGTTCATCATGGTAGCAAAAATCTTGTGAAATTACTTATTATTAAAACAAAATAGTGATTCTTATAATTTATTTTCTCTTTTTTTCCCCTGCATATGTGTGTGGATGGGAGGGTGGTGGTGGTGGGGATGGCTTGGTCTTATCTCCAGCTGAATTTCATCTGGTATTTTAGAAAAGAAAGAAAAAAAGCCCAGCAAGCACTTTTAAGCGCTCTCTCACTTTATCTTCACCTCAGCAAAATCTGACAGTAGTACCTAATATAATTTCCTATTATGTATATTGCTAACACAGATATCTAATAATCTTTTTCCTCCACAAAATTTGGAAACACAGCTTAAAAGGGTACTAAAACTGATAATTTCAAAGTCCAATTAGAAGAGAGAGAGTCCCAACTGCTGCTTTCATCGCTAGCTACTACTGACATTGTCAATGCTAAAGGCATATACAATTAATCTCCTGCTTCTATACCTAATCTTTTTAAATGTTAGTCCATAAGATATTATGATGCAAATTGACTGTAAATTTGCAGCTCTAGAAATATATAAAATGACAAAACTATCAGCTGTCTTGTGGAGTTTGTACCACTCAGATTCTCTTCAGAGAGGAACACATACACAGAAGTGTTTTGGGATTTTAGTGGGGAGAGGGGTAACAGAGAAACAGATGCAATTTTGTGTTTGATATGAATACAGTTCCACACACTGTTGTAAATTAACAGTACAGGAAAAAAAACAGTTCACACTTGGTATTTCAGAGCAAAAACTAACAATTGACACATGGTCCACACAGCTGAAGAAGACTGCAAATAAGAAGCGATCTTCTCAGTGTTCTGTGAAACTTGCCGCTGAAATCCAAACAACAAGAAAGGATCTATATTTTTTGCTTGTCTATTAGTACAGATCACCCCAGAGGAGTTCAGAGAGCCAAATCTCTGTACAAACCTTCATTAACTGCAGATAAATAAGTAGGAAGCTCAACTCATAAGAGTTCATAAATGCTCAAGGGTTGAAAGTGAGGGTAAGAGATTTGACCATGTTCTCAACTTTACTAACTATGAGTTTCACAAAGTCCAAATTTCTACTCTATTTCATGTGGGTCTCATTATTCCTAGATCACAGGTTGCTATTTTGTAAAAAACTGTACTGAAAGAAATTAATTTCTCACTTATTTGTGTTGATACCACTTAGTTAAAGGCCAACTGTAATTGCTTCAACTGATAAAAATCAATTCAAAGGTGAATGTTTGTATTGCACTTGGTTATGAAGGAGGTCTGAATCTCTAATTTCTGAGTTTGGCAGTTGAACTCCATGTACAGCGCAAGAAAATATGAGTTTATTTGACATTTTATAAAACAATGAGCTGGGAGAGCTCTCTATAGGATATCAATGTGAACCGCCCAAAACACACAGTGTTGCATAACAAACTCCATTAGATACCGAAATAAGAGTTAATTGAGCCAGGTTCTTCCCTGAACTCATTCTGCACACTGTTGTGTGACCACAGACAAGTCAAAACAATCACTGTAAGAGGAGAAAATGGCCATATTTTATCTGGAAGAGATATGGAAAAGAAACCAACCATTGCGATATACCAAACATAGAGGACTCAACCTGTCCTGTAGTGCCCTCCCTTTAATGTTCAATACTTGATACAAAAAACAAGGGAGTCATCTTCAGTTATATCATTATATATGTGTTGACATCTACTGAGCGATACTTAAAGGAGACACGTGTCTTATAAAGCTCTGCACAGAGCCCTGTGAACTGCCTGTGGATTGTCTCTCTTGATGTACCAAATCAGTCAATAGTACAATGGGTTAGGCTTTCAAATAGGATGCTGTGCAGAGAAGAATGATATTTCTTAAACTATAGGAATATGAAATGAAATGGTAACACAAAGAACTAAACAAGACTACGAAAACCTACTGAAAACTAAAAATAATTTTGTGCTGGGATTAAATTCTGATTTATGCAGCATGGTAAATAAACTCCCAGCCCTGCATCTCGCAGCAGCATAGGGGTGGGACAAGAGAAGAATGTAGTTGTACACAAAAACATATCAAGTAAGAGAGTAAAGAACATCCATTTCAGAGAAATCTGACCTCAAGTTCACAGCAAAAATTCTTCACAAACATCTACTTAGTTCCTGTGCGGAAGCAGTCGCATCTGTTTGCTACACATTCACAACAGCAGTACAAGAAATATAAACCTTTGGTCTCTCTTTCCAATAGTTCTGTTTTTCTTCTGAGTTTGTTTTGAGTACAGCACAAGCACAACCTCACCTGCAACATCAGAGAACTTATTTTGTACTCATTTAACCTTACAAATGGAAGATTTCCCAGAAATTTTTTATGAGTGCTAATGTACGATGCAAAATGCTTCAGAACTACCATATTTATGCAGACAGAAGGAATTGTTACTAACCATACCTCCAACTGACTACCAAGCCTTTATGCATCTCTCAGAGACTGTGATCAAGGCAGTCACTGATAGCCACTTAAGAATCCAGGATCAGATGGAAAATACCTCTTCTAGACAGTTCCTTCCAACATTTCTTCCCAATATTATCTTCTGTCTTTATACAATGGCCACTCGAGGGCCACTGCACTTATAGCAGCTGTTTGAATCCTCTCTGTGGTTCTGGGTTAATCCAAGATGTAGCATAATGTAAATGCAGACATCAGTAAATGAATGCAACATCAGATGGTAGGAATGTGCAACAGTAGCGAGAGCTGCTCCCTATGCATATTATCAGTCTTTAAGCTCCATTTCTAAATCATCTTCTCCTCTGAAGCAAAGAATTCAGTATAATTTACTAACATATTAATGAGGATGGTATCAAGTCTGTTTGAATACAAAATGCCTGTTTTCAGTCCAGCCTTCAAAACATACTGATAAACTCAAATAAACATGAAATGAAAAACAACCACAGCCACTTACTTTTGCCGCTCCTATTTGCTCTTTACGAAACTTCTCCAGCGGTGCTATTAGCACATCATTAGCATTCTGGATCTGCAAAGTTAAACACAAAGCATATCTTTTTAATAGAGTATTTGCAGAAAGTAGAGTCACTGTAACTCTGCCAATGTGCAAGACTGAAAAATTCATATCTTTAACATTCTAGTAAGAGCATATGGGCAGAAGGCAAGTAATTATGTTTTCTTCACACAAAACATACAACACCAATGTAAACTAATCTATTATGGAACATTTTCATGAATAACCAAAGCAATTGTAATGAATGTCTCTCTTCAATATGTAGAAGGGTTTTCTGGTACTTTACTTCCATTTCTTGCATCTTGCCTAAAACCAGAATAGAAAATGAAAACTTTCAGGAACATGTTTTGGCAGAACAAAGAAGACAAATATACTGGTACTGACAGCACTGACTAAAAAAGTCTGTGTTTATAGAATCTGAAACTTGACAGCTGAATCTTTTCGGTTATCTCTTTGGATTACATACCTAGTTACACTGAACAGAGGAGAGTGAGGCAGAGAACTCTTAAAAGATAAGTAGACAATTTAAAAAATACTCTAGCTTGGGTTCCTTCACTTTAAGATGTCCTGCAGCTATTTTTATCCCTTTAACCTAAAGCAGAGTTCTTAATGAAACACAGTATTCCCCTCATAGCCTCTGTTTATTTAGCGTAAATCCAGTCCTGGGAATCCCTCTCTGAAAACCATTCCCAGCAGTGACCACCCAAAGTAGTCCCCCGCCTTTTTTTCTTCACACCAGTTCAGTCTTTACCATACTCATCATTTGAGCTTTGGCAGGTTTGGAAGTCTGGGCAAAGCTAACGTGCACCTAAGCCAAATATGAATGAATACAGATCTTGTGGTTCTTCCACAACAATAATTGATAAGCCAAATGGTCAGTTAGGCACAAAAACTTCCCAAAAGCCTGTACTAATAAATACAGAGAATAAACCCATTGAAATATAAACACATTTTCTTTCCTCCCAAACATAACATTACAATTTGAAAGACCACAGAATCACCACAACTCTTAGTAGGGAAAAGTTTCAGGAAAAGTAGAGATTCGACACCCTAATGAAGCAAAGTCCAAGACAGCAATGGCAAAACCGGAATGCTCAATGATAAAGTGATCAAAATGTGCAACATTTAAAAACAAAAATCAGGCACAGAAGATGAAAAGGAGTGTTTTCATTGCATTTAACATCCTCCATCAATTCCACTGGATCAGACCACAGAGCTACATCTCTGAGTGGACATTTCCAAAAAATATATAGATTTTTAGGCATCATCCAGCAATCTAACTGGGACTCAACACTTTTTACAAGGAAAAGTGCACAGACCTAAAAAAAGATAAGTTCAACCCCAAGGATCTTAAATCTTTAAAGATTAAAGATTAACAGGGGTGCAAAACTTAAATGATTTGCCCACAACCAGGCAATGTTGCAGAGCATACATCTGGAAGTAGGAGCTCAAAGTTTTGATAAGTTACAGAACATGTATGTGGCTCTTGGCAGCACACAGAGAAATCACAAAAGCTTAGTGGAGTCAATGGTACAGAATTGTGGATGCATTTTTTATTTTTTTTTCATGTACAAAACTAAGTTTTTTCTCTGCCTTTGAGATTCATTGCTAAATACCTCACAGTTCAATTAATGTATTATGTATTATCAAGTAGTTACTACTGATACCAGCAATCATTGCTAGTCCTGTTGCTAGTCATTGCCTCTCAAACTAACCTCATGTGGAGCTGAATGGCCTTCCTTTCACTCAATGATACCACAGTTATGCAACCTCCATGCCACACTAAGAGACCTCACTTCACATACTGTCCTCTTGACAATGTTAAAGAAACTGAAACACAACTCCTACCCATCTCACTCAAAGCTGCTGCAAAGCAAATGAAGTATCTTGGAAAAAAAGGAATCCTGCTTCAAACACCATGGAAGAACATATTCACAGGAAGCATATCGCACTGAGAGGATTCATCTGAGAAGTACACAGCTTTGCCAGGATAAAGCACAGTTTTATAACTCCCACAGTTATACACGAACTGGGAATGGACAGCAGACATCACCAGGCTACTTGAAAGGTGTCACACACTTCATCTAGACAGGGTCTGTGCCTCTGAACAGATCTGCTGAGCCACAATAACAGAACACACTGCAAGCTGTTCCCTGTGCTGAAAGCTTCTACTGACGAGAACTCTGATGTGACAATTCATGTCCCAGCAAAATTAGGAGCTAAGCAAGTAACAGGCTTTGGTTTTGGGGAGGGAGAACATGGCAGCAAAAGACCAGAGAAAATCCCAGCAGATGCACTTCAACAGTCAGTATTATAAAGATGCAGAAGTCTTTAAAGATGAAGTCTATAAAGATGAAAAGACTTCCATCAATTTTCACCAGTCTGTGCCTAACTTTTGGAAACTGAAAATTATAGAGAAAGAAGAATTTTTGCCTTACATATGCATTTATTAATTTCCTTTCTTTGTCAATTCCTATCACTGCAACTACTTTACAGTTTCATTTTAAGGGTTACAAACTGGCACACAGGCTTCCCCCCTCCCCCCTCCCCCACAAAATAGGAGCCTAGTCCTCCCACAACCATTTCTGTGGAAATCTGATTGTTTTAGGTAATCTAAAATTTTCACTGTGTGGTCCTAATAGAGTAAATTTCTTCCTGCCAAGATGATAATCCCTCTCCTACTCCTAGTTATTGTGCTAGGTTGAAATCAGGGGCACTTGGAACAGGCAAACAATGTCAAAAAGACTGTAACAGTTTCTGTAAATAGCAACTTCAGAAACCCAAGTTGTGCTTAAAATATGGATCTTATCCTTCAAAGCTTATTGAGATTAGTCACACCTTTAAAGAAGTTATACTTTCTTGATCCAATAGCTACTGAATGCTACATGGTTCCAGTGCCCAGTCTGGCTAGTATGTGGCAGTCAATCCAACAATGTGATTGTTTCTCTTGTTTGGCAAAAGCATCAGTCTTTCTCCAGAAAAAGAAAAAAACAAAGGAATCATACAATTTTAACTTAGTGACAGTTCCTCAGTCTTTTCTAATGAAGATGCCATGCAAGTGTTAGACAGATATAACAGGAGAATTACTTTGACAATTGAGAGCTGTATGAGATATAGTAAAAAAGAAAAATATTTTTCTAAACTTAAGAACTTAATCAGATTTTTATCTTTGGTATATATAATTCTACTTAGCTGTAGTTAACTCTACTTATTGATAAAAATACCATTGAAATAAGTACCACTAAAATCATCCAGAACTTGTAAAATATACTTGAAAAAGAAACATTTAAAAATTCAAAACACTTTTCTAAGGTAGTTTGGACAATTTATGAGGTCAATCTCTGTTTGCATAACTGCAAATTTCAATACACTCTGACAGCCTTTGAGAAAACATGGAAAAGCACCTTAAATTGTCTTTTCTGATTCTTGATAATCCACTTTTCCAACCCACACTCCTTCCCTCCAAAAGTTAGCTATGAAATTGAATTAATGCAGCAATACTGAGATTAAACTGATTTTCACACATCACAGAGAAACTCCACGTCTATACTTGGAGATATTTTGGGCTAGCAAATTTTTAAGCTTTTCTTTTTTGACTAAGACTTTTAATGAGTAAAATGAAGAACATTATGAGAATCATTATTACAAAATGCTAGAAAGGGAAGAATAAATTTATTGCAAATATATCTGAACATTTTAATTTCTAGATTTTCTTAAATTCAATATTAATTTTTTGAATGAGTTTTCTAATTAGATTTCTAGTTTTTCTAAATTTGGGATAGTGAATTATATGTGGCCTGTACACGCAGCTGCTGCCTTCTTCTTTTACTTAAACTAAAAGAGGGTAGATAAAGATTTAAATGGAAAGAGAGTAGGTTTAGATTTGATGTTAGGAAGCAATTCTTTACTGTGAAGGTGGTGAGGCACTGGAACAGATTGCCTAGAGAAGCCATGGCTGCCTCATCCCTGAAAGTGCTCAAGGCCAAGTTGGATGGGGCTTTGAGTAGCCTGGTCTAGTGGAAAGTGTCTCTGACAATGGGAGGGGTATTGGAATGAGATGATCTCTAAGGTCCCTTCCAACCCAAACCAAACTATGATTCTGCAATTCTACTTTGGTAGAAACAGTGGATATAAACAGATATTTATCTATAAACATCGATGCAGCTGCTACTTCATTGTTAAATACTAACAGTATAGACACGGAAATTTTAAACCCTAAATCACTTTACAAGCTTTTAGCTTCATCTAAGTATCTACAGTGTTGAATTGCAGCAACAAGAACAATTAATATCTTTTGAGTTTTATATTTTTATTTGTAGGGAGAATGACGAGGTAGGTTACCAAAAGAATTAACAGAATCACCAGCTGCCAGAAGAAAACAGCAACAATATCAAGGGAGACACCTTTGCAGTGACAGAATTAGGAATTAAATCAGGGTTATCTGAATTTCAGCAAAACACTTTAACTACAAAAAACATTTGGGTTTATGTCTTGTATCTTGGAAATACACTTTTTGCTCCAAAATCTGCTATGAGTATTTTTCATGGCAACACAGAATGATCGCACTTGTATATGAGAAATAAAACTCATATCCTTGAAAATCTGAATGCTGACAAATTTTAACTTGCTTCCTGTTGGTATAAGCCTTCTACATAACATGAATTAAATTCATTCAAAGAATGCAACAAACCCATAGCTACTATATTCATAGTAATGCATTTCTAACTTAGAAAAATATTGCTCTGCAAGACAAAAAGACATAATTTAATTTTAAATCTTTCCCCCAATTCCTAACAATTCTTAACATCTGACCACAAAACACTTCTTTTAATCTGTGGCCTATATCAACTGCTCCTGATCAATACAACAGTAGAGACCAAATATGGACAACCAGGCATTTATGTAACTTATATATCAAATTGCATGCTACAAAGAATATAAACATGCCATGATAAAACACTAATCATGTATTTAAGTCCACAGTTTCTGTTTTAAAAGTTAAAAAGTATAAATAT